AGTCTGAATTACACTGAGCCTGGGAGAGCAGAGAGGGAGGCAGGGCTGAGATGCAGTGGTCTAGAACTGTGCTGGCTTTGAGGCAGTCACCTTCCTTCTCCTGGCTTCCCCGAAATGTGGCCACCCCGAGTGTCCTGCTGCTGTGCTGGTATGTGGGACTCACATAAAATTATAAGGTGTAATTGAAAAAAAAGGGTATTCAAATTTAAAAAAAAATTATTTTAGTAAAAGATACATCTCCATGAATACCCCTCCAAAATACGCCTAACTTTGAACACACTTACCCCTTTGTTCTTGCCACTTTCTGAAACAGCTTTGGAAGTCCTCTTTTATAGGTATCTCTAGCTGCCTTGTCAAGGCTGCCTCAGTGTCCTAAACTGGTGTTTTAAATCAATTCAAAACATTTCCCTTTCATGGTCATTTTAACTTTGTGGAAGAGCCAGAAGTCACACAGTGCCAGATGCAGTGGATAAGGTACAGAACGAAACACCATCATGTTTTTATGAGCCTATATTTCTGTTGGATGGCACTCAGCAACAGCATTCACTGAATTTTCATCACACCTGGTAATGACACACAGGAAAGAGTACTTCCAGAACTGCTTTAGAAAATGTCAAGAACCATGGGACAAATATGTTTGAAGTGTGGAAGTAGGGAGTAATTTGACAGGGATTACTGGCAATGTGTCTTTTACTATAATAACTCTAATTTAAATAATCACCATGTATTTTAATATCCCCTTGCACATCCTCCAAGACATGGGTCTGAGTTTGGAGAAAGGGTACTGTAGGGTATAATGAGTACAAGGATAAGTGGTGTCTTCTTTGTCCACTTTGCCCACACAGTGCTACCCTGCCTCCTGGCCTCCATGCTGCGTTCTGCCCAGGGTTCAGGTGGCTAGTGGGGAAGCGAGTTGACACTGGCTGCTGAGGATCCTGGGGGACCCTCCGTGTGTGGGAAGGTGATTCTTCCCAGATTTCTCAGTCAGCTTCTTGAACGCAAGGGAAAAGCAGCCTGAGGCAGCAAGAGGAGATGCAAATGAGAAATGAGAGAAGAGACAGGGAGACATACAACATGGTTTCCTCAGAGCCAGCTGTGAACCCAGACATAACCAAGTGACCTAGGTCCATTTCTGCACAGGACAGCACCCCACCAGCTTCTGGGAATTCGTCATCGTACACCAGGGAAGAATCCTCTGGAAACTGTTAAAGGAGGCCATCTAATGTGAGGAAAAGTCAGCAAGCAAAGCCAAGACTAAAGATACATTATTAATAGAGCAGGTGGCATTTTTACTTGACTTATGATGAAACGATTTTGCACTCAAACACAATTGGTGGATTAATTAAATCAAATTATTCTGATTACCGAGAACTTGATAGTATATCAAATTTTCATACCAAATTAGCCAAGAAAGGTTAAACTGATATGTGAATAAATAAATACCAAAACTTTAAAAGTTTCCAGAAAGAGCAAAAGTAAGTATTGTTGACTAATATACAGTCATTTCTTGCTCATTTACAAAGTGACAGCTTTCCAAATATCTGACAATGGATGGTTTACTATTTAGAATGTTAAATTTCATAAAATACCAAAATAAATTGGGAGTTACAAACCCTAGGCATTTCAACTCTAACTTGGAAAAACAAGAATTATTACTTTGACCTTATGAAAAGAACCATGTCATATCCACAATCGAATCTTCTTGGAGAAGATGGTGTGTGGTTAAGGAATCCAATATGTCAACCTTCCCTCAGAATCACTTCTTTCCCCTCCCTTCTCTGGTTGTGACTAGGGTGGTTCATGGAAGGCTGAATGTATCTTATATTACTCTATTTTCTATCTTTAAAAGGGGTTATAAATATTTCTCCAGATAATGAAGGGAAAATAGCAGGAATCAAGTTGCACTGCATTTTATGTATGTGATATTGATGACATCCAACAAGCATCAATTCCATGAGGGCTTGTAAAACATATGTCACAGCCATGGTCCTAATCATATTTTCAGGTTCATTTAAAAGTCCCACCAATGATTCAGAACATGTAGAGAAAAATTACACACATGGAATGCCATGCAATTGCTGTTTTCTCTTTGTTATAAGTCAAAAACAAGTCTGTTTAAACAATCACAGTGCAATCTTGACTGAGCCTATGGCTTTCAGTGTCCTAAGAGAGAACTGGGCTAGTGTACAATTACTCCAAAGCCTCTTCTGGAGATGCTAAAGATCAGGAAGGTAACTGCAGAGGGGCACACACTTTCTGTATTATGCATGGAGAGGTGTGAACAAGGGCAGGCAGCACCTGAAAATCATTTCTGTCCACCCCATGACAGCACCATCCTGTAGTCCGAGCAGCAGCCTTATCTGGTGGCTCTGCTGGACCAAAGGACCAGGATCACAGGCCTAGAAAGAGGCAGAGTGGGGATGGGTCCAGTTTGGTTCCCCTACATGTGGCATATTCTCCCCTACGGCTTCATAATCTTCCTGAAAACCCTGAGACCTGGTCCTACCCAGAACCCCATGAGAACAGTAAGGCTCTTCTACATTGCACCTCATTGACTTTCTTCTTCTACCACACATGTGCTTGGAGGACAGGAGAAACACCCAAAATCCAGAGACGCAGACCACCTCACTCCCAACACCCAAGGGGGCACACTTCTGGGGGTGAACACTATACCAGCAGGTGCAGGGCAGGAAGAACTGCTGATCTTGCCCTCCTGTGTGCCTCTGTCCTTTCCAAGTGAGCCTGGCAGGTGGTAGAAGGGTCCTTTGCCATCACACAAGTGACAGCAGGCAGAGCACAAGCCCATCTTCCTACACACACCATCATCGGCCTACCTGTACAGAGATCCCAAGAGCACGCTCATGAGCTGCCCGCACTGGGCACATCAAACCCCTGGCCCAAAAAGCGACCCCCACTGTGCCACTGTGTGAAGGGCAGAATGGGATCAAAGGCCACAGGAGGATTCTGATTCCTTTTGGTCATGAATGGTGAAGTCGCTCTCCTACCAAGGCCCTCATTGTACTGTTGCTGTAGTACTGTTATCATAACGCTGATTAGTTCACCAAAGGCAGTAGAAATAGAAATTTGGGGAAAGGTGCTCATCCCTGCAGCCTGCTCTCCAGTTTTGTTCTCATAAACATCTTTGAAAGGGAATAAAACCAAAGTATGGGCACTACCTTTCCATTCTACTTTGAGCAGAGAAGAGTCCAGTCCAAATCTCCACTAGAGATTTGGGCAGCTTCCCAAAGTGGCCTTGCTCTGTTTGATCAGCTCATTGATAGTGTAGAAGTGATAGTGCCAACAATAACTTCACTGAATCTAAAAGACAACACAGCAAATGGGGTTCTTGGTTATCCGCACTTCACAGACAGGCTCACTGAGGTTCAGACTGCTTAGGTATGTGCTCAAGGCTCTGTCCTGGCTAGATATCGAGACCCAGGAAACTGCAAAGCTTTGAGATAGGGGCTCTCTATGTAGTCTAGGCTGGCATTGAACTTGTGACCCTCCTACCTCAGGCTACCTGGTGCTGGGATTACAGGCATGCATCACTACATCCATTGCACAAAGCTCTGAATTGCTGTGCTCTACTGCTTCCCAGCAAAACTCAAGTGAAGATGTGTAAATCCCAAATAAATCCTGGGTTGTCCACATGCTAAACTCAGTTTCACATCACGGGACAGAAAAAGCTCAAGATGTGTTTCATACATGTACCAATTCCCCAACATAAATGGAACTACTATGCATTGTATACATACACTCATAATAAAAAGGTTACTCAACTGCAACAGAAAAAAGTAAGGCCAATCTGAAGATTGGTACCAGGAGGAGAAAGAAGGGAACCTGGAAAATTCAAATTATAAGAGGAAAATGGCTTGAAGGAGCTACATGCATGACTTGGAGCCAAATGCTCTGGCAGATGCAGCCGTGCTCAGGGATCTGCGATGACAGGGACACTCCTTTTTCCACCTCACTTGGAGCTGCCTTTATAGAACTTTTATTTTATGCCCAAAGATCAAATAAAAGAAAGATCACATTTAATGAGAGCTAGGGGAAATCAACTGGTGGCAATTAAAGCGTAAAAATAACCTCTCTGTGGCTGCAGACCACAGGAGTTTCCTAATTTGAAGAGGCACAGGCAAATCACTTAAACAAGGCCTTCTGGGCTGTGCTTGGCTCATATTTCCCCCACACCCACTGTGGTTACAGCTCTAAGCAGCCATAGCTCTTGAGGTCACAGGATCGTGTAGTAAGTGGAAGCACAGCCAGGCCAGATCCATCAACCACAAGCACAACTTCGTAGCACAGAAGTTAGAACCAGGCCTTCTCCGTGGCATGTAACTTTAAGTGGAAGGGGTTAAGCAGAGTTAGAAAAGGCCATGGAATAAGGTCCAGGACCCTTCTCTTAATGAGGGTCCTTCCTCCAACCGCAGTCTTGTTTCCACAGTCCCCTGAATCTGGAAAAAAAAGTCTAATGTTGGCCAAGAACCAAGGACTCCTCACTTTCCTTCCTCATTTTCCATATGCAGCTGGGTCTGGGGTAGACCAGCAGGCTGACCTGATCTCCTCCTCAGCCTAAAATAACTGAGCTTAGCAAAACACCAATAGGTAGCCAAGGTGATTGGAGAGTCCACTTTAACAACCACTCTTTCCTACACCTCTGTAGTTACACAGACCAGAATTTGTGAAGCCTTCCTCAATCTTAAGAGTCAAACTGAAAAACCTGGAAAAACCTCTGGAATGTCATCAGCTTCCCAGGAAACATGCATACCCCAAAACACTGGATTGCCTAGAGAAGCCCACCTTTGAACACTTCCTGAAATTTCCCACCAGGGGTTATGATGTGGGGTGCACTCAGGACAAGAGGAGCAGCTAGACAGAATGAAGTGGGGATATTTACTGTGGGGTATTATTTATACGCCAGGAGACTCTGTACACTCTGTCCCCAGGTCAAGTCCAGCCTTGGTCTGTGACCCACTCATCCCCCAGAGCATGGTGGTTACCGGTAAAAAGTGGCGTAGTCCACCGTGGAATGGCAGGTCTGAAACTCCCAGGACTTGATCTTCTGGCACTCTCGATGGGCTCGCAGCTTCACCTTCACTGTCCCCTGGCACAGCTCCGGCACTGGTCTCCTCCTCGGTCGGTTGCAGAACTCGTTGGACTCCACCCTCCAAGACTCGGCAAAGTCGTCCACATCGAACTTGAAGTTCCCATCTCCACCGATTAAGTCATCTCGTTTATGCCCATTGTAGTTGCCACAGAGACCGCACAGCTTGCCCTTGAGGTGAGGGGCAGCCATGATCTCTACAAAGCTGTCTCCATCCCAGGATATTTCTAAGCCTAGAGAAGAAGAGAGGAAAGGAGATCAAGCACTTCTGAACTTCTGACAGTCCCCAAATGTGCACATCTTTACACACTACATGAGCAGGAGGATTATTACAAGTTGGAGACCAGCCTGGGATACAAAGTGAGCTCAAGGGCAGCCTGAACTGCATAGTGAGACCCTGTCTCAAAAAGAAAGAAAGAAAAAAAAAGAACACAGTGGGTCTATCCAAATTCTCTGGTGTCTTTTAATCTTACCACACTAAACACTATAAATTACAGAAATCATCACTTGGAGGCTTAGGATTTTTAAACTGTACAAATTTGCCTTTCTAACATCTTATGCACTCCTATTTTGATCTTTTTAGACAAATACTCTCAGACCATGCTACTTTAAGGTTTATGTTTTTGCCCTTTCTTAAAGTACTTGTGTTAGTCCAAACTGTGCCTCCATTCATCCAATGACTAATGTGAGAAGGGATGACAGTTCTTTAATGTTGCTTTTGTCTTTTTAATCCAGAAATTTTCCCATGTAATTATTCCTTCAAATGCCAATGGAAATTTTCCAAGTTATCTGCTATAATAAGAGTATAAAATCAATGAATATATGAATAAAACTTCTGAATACATAGTCTGCAAAAGACAACACTCATATAAATGAACATATTTGCTCCTTTGTAACTTTAGTCATTCCTGAGACATGGACCATGGGCCCAGGTTTCCTGGGGTTGAGTTGCTGGGGATTGAGTTGCCTTTCTCTTCCCATCCCGGGCCTCCATCCTTGGTGTGCTCACTTGAGGGGGGTTGGAGGCACCAGGCCATGGACATAAGTCCTCTTGTGCCTATCATCAAGCCAGTTCTGCCTTGGGCATCAAGGAAACTCTCTTTGCTCCTGAAAGGAGGGAACAGAGCCCCTTCTTGGCTTGCTAAACTGACTTCTGAAGTGCAGGAGAAGTGCATTGTGTGAACACATGCACATTTCTCCAACATACTAGTCCGGGGATGTCTGAGAGCTACACAAGCCACTGAGAACTCTGAGTAGTGGGACTTCTCTGTCACATAGAGGACAGCCAGGCTACATTGCCACACAGTACAGGCCAGTCCAACCAGAGGTCAGGAAGGAACTCTCAGATCCACTCTGGTGCAGTGTGAGAAGACCACACACATGAGAAAGGAGAGGTCCTAATGCTTTGTGTTGAGGCTCAACACAAAGCTAATGACCTTTTCTCGAGTTCTGCACATATTAACTGTGTGTGGGAAGTTTTTCCCACTATCCTGGGACACTTTGAAGGACAGTGCCTGACATCCAGCAGTGGGTGAACGTATATCAACCAATGCAAAGTAATCACTGTGCATGAATGCTACTGCACACCCATAGCAGATCTGTGCACCTGCCTGACTCGGGACTTCTCAGCCACTGTCACTATCTTCTGAGAGGCATCCACAGAGCAAGCTCTTTTTAATATAAGTCCCTGCCACCTTTGGATTTTTAAGTCTTACCTTTTTGGGTTCCTGAAAAAAATTAACTTTTTTTTCTAGCTAAACGTGGAAAAAGAAAAATGTCTTCTTCTAAAAGGAATTTTTTGTCCTTGTTCCTAAAAGACCAGGATTAAGCTGATAAGCAAATGCCCAGAAGTTGGGGTGGGACAGGAGAAATACAGACAGGAGAGGTGGAGGTGGAGAGGAGGAGAGAGAGGAAGAGTGAAAGAGAAAGCAATGGATCTCCTCTGGACTGGCACAAGGCAAGGACACCAGAGTGGTGTAAGATCAGGAAGAAGTACCCAGAGGTGAGACTCCAAGACGACATTCCCCAAACCTGAACCAGATGGTAGAGACAGAGCCTGGCCACGTGGCCTTGCTGTGGGAAGGGCACACAACTTCCTGAGACAGAGTTATTTCAGGTGGGCATTAGAAGGGAAACCCAAGGCTTAAAACTGGGGTTTTTCAAGAAAGAAGCAGAAGAAACCCACAAGAAAATCCCTGTAGAGTGGAAGGAGCCAAAGCATTGTAAATCTAAGGTAAATGACAGAGAGGATTTCTTAGTTGGGGGAAAAGCAATTAAATAGATTTGGAAAATAAGAATAGAAAAGTACATAGGAAAGTAACTTTTGGGAGTCATGGATGAAGAGGGGACAGTAATGAGGCTGGGTAAGGAGAAAAAGTCCAGAGTACCAGAATGTCTGTACTGGGATGAGCCCTGCAGGTCTCTGTGAGAGCATGGTGTCACCTTTAACAGCCACAATTTAAATGTACGATGGCTTCCATTTCCTCCCAACCATCATCTATCACATTATCCAGCACATGGTATGGAATCAATAACCAAAGGAATTACCCTTATAATATTGACGCATTAAATCTTCAAAAACAAACAAATTGTAAGTTTCATGCTGGATAAAACACTGAAACAACCATTTTAAAGGAGATGAATAAAATGTAAAATGGTTTGTAATACTGTGTGCTCTCCAAGGTATAGACAAAACTTGACCTTACAAGCCCATAGCCAGGCAGCTACTCTGCAAGAGAAATGAGGTGAGGAAATCAGTTCCATAGTAACTCAAACTTTTAGATCATAATCCCAAAGATTGGCAATGTTGCAACACTGTCCAAACTACAAATCTCTTTTCCTAGGCAGCAGGCAAATACAGTTCTTCCAAGTGCCACAAATAGTTGAGAATTTACACCCAAAGGAGCTCCCAGGTCATGACTGACAATAACATAATAAATATAATCCTTTGGGCCACTGAGTTCATGGGAACTTGACTCAAAGAGAACAAGTTGATTGCTGATCTCTGTGTCTACATGAGCTTGGGAGAATGCAGACCCTCTGTGTTTTTAACAAACTTTTCTCAAAACCCATGACACGTCATTATAACACATGGTCCCCAGAGTAAGAGAATAATGTGTAATTCACTCTCATTTCTTCTTTGTTATTATTACACAAAGAGGATTTTCACAGACCAATGAAAGTTTCATGTAGGAGGTGATTTATTCTCCCCAGTGCCTTTGCCTTTTGCTGTATCATTTACACATGTGTTTGTGTGAATATTTTTACCTTTTATAGGAGTAAAATCCATGCAAAGTAGATTAGAGTCATGAAAGCAAAACACTAGTAAGTTGTAATTGAGGGACTCCCTCTTCCAAATGATATTTTAATTTGGTGTCTTATGAGGGGGAAACGCCTAGAAGTGTCTAAGGGGTTGAGTACAGTCCTTTCTGCAGCTGGGTTGAGTTTCCTGATTCCAAACATGGGAAACTGGGTAGAAATAACTGATAGAGGCAGAAGGCTAATGCTGAAGCATATGCCCTTATCAGGGAATGTGAGCATCAACCACATTCTTTCCACTTCAGCAAAGGCCTTCCCAGTCTCCTTTCTTCGCAGTGTGTGTTTTGCCAACTTGTTCACCCTTCAAATGTGTGACCTGGCTATACACCACTAGCCTGGGTTGGCTTTGGTGGTGTTTGTGTAGCTGTCCTTGTACGTTGGGGATGCTGCTGTGTGCTTCACGTTGCTTTGCTTTCTGATTACTGATGGTTTGGCTGCTGCCCACTTGAAGGGGTTAGAAGGTGCAGAATCTGAAGGCATACCTCAGTGATATGCAAAAGTGGGTAGTATTCTTGGTCATATTTCACATCAAAGTGGGGGAGGGTATATTCTCTGGGTTCCAGTGTAGTGTTCCGTTAAAATCCACGTTGCTCATAAGTTAATGCTTTCAGGTGATCTGATGTAAGACTTTCAGTTAGAGTTCATGAGGTACACAGACAGCGGAAAGGAAATGTTTTTTAAATAATGTGCTAAGTGCTGAGAGCCGGGACCAGCATGTGGTGGGGTCCCCGGCCAGTCATTGAGGGATAAGTGGCAGGGCCTAATTCTGCACTAACTGCATGGCCATCTGTGCAACTATACCAGGTGATTCCACCTTCATCCTGAAGGCTGAGTCCAACAACCACCAGGCAAAGGCCTTTCCTCTACCTCCTGTCCTCTGGCTGCAGGGTGCTTTGAAGCTGCTATTTTGAGGGCAGTCTCCTTTGATTAGGAAATAAAACATGAAATCTCTGGAGGAAGAACACTAGAGGAAATGCTATGATATTTTAAACAGGCAATCAATAGGTGATAAAAAGAAGATAACCTGCTGTTGCCCATTTGAAGAGTGGAGGAGGTGCAAAATCTGAAGACGTACTACAATGATATGTAAAAGTGGATAGTGTTCCTGATCGGATTTCACAACAAAGTAGGGGGAGGGTGTACTTTCTGGGTTCCAGTGTAGTGTTCTCAGTTTAAACTGAGGTGGATGGACTAGAGTAGAAACACGGTCATAGGAAAATAGAGTTGTTCCATTCAAAGGATGAGCATAGAGTAAGCATAGTGGCCAGAAGAATAATGCTGCTCCCAGGAAGCAGAAGGATGTATGACTTATTTGCACCAGGATACTGTCCAGCTGGGTGTGGAGGGAACAATAAAAATTACTTGCATCATGGAAAGAGATATGGAAAAACAAAAGAGAAATTATAAAACTTTAGTTCAAGGCCTAGAATGGTTAAATTCATGAATCTAATTATGGTGTTTGTGATCCATTACTATTTTCTTAGCGGTCTTGACTTTTTACAACATGGAATCCTTGTGAAGATCAGGATTAATCCATGAGGCTTTGCTAGCTCTGTGTGGAACAGTATTGAACCTCCTGGGCTGTTAGTAATCTTGAGGGACCCAGGATGCTTTGGAGAACTGGGATTCAGCTGACTAATAATTTCCATCTCGGTAGAATTCACTGTGTCGGTCTGGCTTGCAAACAGATAGGCAAGGTGCTTCTCATTAGTGCCCTGTAACAGCAGGACATCTTGCTAAGTTTTATAAGGAGCTGGAAAGTGCTGCCTCCTTTATGGAATCAGGCAAGGCCTACATTTGCAGAGTATGTGTCCTGTGGACAAAAGAAGGGTGACTGAATCTTCTGAGAAGGTCTTATCCTTCTAGAGTCCATGAGCAGAGCTCCTCATATTGCAACATGAAGGATGGAGATTGTTCCCCTTTGCTGAATGTCTCAATACATTAATGCTTTCCATTGTCAGACTGAAATGCTGATGTACTCCCTAATAAAAGCTCCCAGGGATGTGCCTTGGCTTCTTGCCTTTGTTTACTAAGTGGGCACAGCAAGGAGTCAAATCAATTTATCAAAATATATTCTGGCTTGAATTGAAACAATGAGAAGGGTTCTTGGAGCAGGAACAGCCTCATGCACCCTCAAGAGTGCCTACTTTATCAAAGGCTTCCCTTGGTGATTATGTTGCCTAAGGAAATTTGAACTTGATGCTTTCACACTGCTAACGTCTCATCAGTAAGAAGGCAGTCAGTAGGCTGGTTTCCCTACAGTATCACGATGGTTAAAGAAATAGCACCCACCAGGACACACAGCGCAATATCCAACCAGCAAACAACAGGACCACATGCAGCCCACACAGAACCATACATGGTGCTAGAAAGTGTGAAGATGAGCAGGACTCAGTCTCTGGGATTGACAACCAGGAACTGGGTTCTGCTTCTGAAATGCTTTTAAAGCAACATTTAACAGACACAGACTTGAGCCTGGTGGATCCCTAGGAGCTTGGCCTGGGGTGTCCTAGGGGTGGAAATGCAGGGTGCAGCACCTGTACTAGAGAGAGGTCTCAGCCAGCAGCTCCACCTGCCCAAGGGTGTGGAGAGTTGCACTTCCAAAGCCAGCCTAAGATGATGCTTCTGGCTGTCAGGGTGGTGGCTTTCTTTGACAGCATCTAGGGTGGATAGGTCTGCTGGTTACAGGTGGCTCCTGTCCCCCTCAACTGGACACTTGTGAGTGACAGCCTCATTCTCTTTAGCACAGGATGGCTAAAATGGATCAGTGACCCAGTGGAGGCTAGAAGAACAAGCCCTTCACTTGCAATCCACTTCCCTCAGCCTCCCAAAGTGCTAGGATTACAGTCAAGTACCAGCACACCCAGATCTGTTTTTTTCTGAACACCACTGACTCTAGCTGTCAGCTTTTGAGGATGCCTCACACTTTGGGGTCAGATGTTAACAAGAAAACCCTGTTTCCTCTCCCAGATGTGAAACTGCATGTAAGTAGCTGAGCTAAGAGGGACCCTGACAACTCCAAGGTGGACATCAGTGGTCCAATTGAGGTTATCTGATGAGCACAACTACTATTTCTAGAGTGAGGATAGTAAGCTTTGGATGTGTGAAGATTGAAAGACCACTGTGCCCCGTACCCAGTTGCCAGTCTCCATGTATTGTCTCTGGGCTCTTGGTGGCATTTCAAGATGCCTTGGAGGAGACAGCCCTATAGGGGCAGGGGGAGCAGATGCTCAGGGTGGGGCCCCACCTGCTCGGGTGGTCACCTTCAGCAGGTAGCCCTCTAGGTCCACGTGAAAGTGTGGCCCACGGCAGGGCAGTGCCACACGGGAGCCATTCCAGCGCACAGCCAGGTGCTGCTCCAAGCTAATGATGCTCGAGCCCAGGACCAGCTGCACTGACTTGGTCCAGGAGAAGGAGCGTGTCCGCCGGGCATCGTTCTTCACCAGCACCTGGAAGGGCGAGGCAGGGGAGGTGCAGTCTCTGGTCAACACGTACTGACACGTGCCCTGAAAGTTAAAGGTCCGGCCATCAAAAGTGTTGTAGTGAGGGTCTCCGAACACCGTGCACACACCAGGCTCTGCGGATGGGCGAGAGAGAAGAGCAGGGTCACAACCAAGGGAGGACATGGACAGGCAGCAGGGTCCTTGCAGGCCATGGGAGGGGATGGCAGGTGAGTCAGGGCCTGAGCAGGGATGCTCTAAGGGAAATAACTTGGGAGAAAAGAAAAAAATGTTGGAGAGTTTTAAAAGACTTTTCTCGTATAATACTCTGGCGACTACTTTTAAAACTTATTTACAACACCTCTGAGCTTTTAAAATGTCTCTGGAGCCCTGACAAACTTCTGTGGAGGAAGACATTGAACTCAGACACTTAAGAGCTGGCTTCACTCCATGACTCACATAAACAAGGGCAAATTAAGCACATAAACAAGTAAACAACAGCAACACAGATGACACTACACCAAAATTTTTGTACTACTTCCATCTGTTTTTATAAATTTTGAGACAGGTCATGTTAAATTGCTAAGCCGCCTAGGCTAGGCTCAGACTTGTATCCTCTTGCTTCAGCCTCTCAACTAATTCAAAAAAGTTAGAAGCACTGCATGTTATTCAAGATTCTGAAGAAAGTTATAATAGTCACGTACATGTACATATACATACTCGCTAAGGACAAATAAACAGAATTGCCAAACATATCTATGATTAGTAGTGTCAGGAAAAAAGTCACTGATAAAATTAATAATTACAGATCATCTTCATATGTTTTCTAGAAATATGTTTCTTATATTTTGATCTAAGTCAGAAAACAAATTATTGACAAAGTTAATAATTACAGGTCATATTTACATGTTTTCTACAAATATATGTTTCTTATATTTTGATCTAAGGGCCAAAATACAATGTTCAATTTAGAAAATCACAAAACTCAATCATTTAGTACAGTACTTTTAAGAAATTCCAATGAATTTTTATGCCAATATAATATTTAAATAGGTATGAGTTCTGCATTTGAGGTATCTCAAACATTACAATAAATTACTAAATGTTTTTTAAAACAAACCCTGGCATTGTTTGTTCTCCATTTTAAAGATATTTTGTTTCCAAAGAAGCATGAATAATCACAGAAATAAGGAATTCATGTAGCGAGATTAGCCCAGAGAATGCAGAACTGTAATAAACTGCTATGGCTTGTATCTAGATGTCCCTGCAAAGCTTCATGCATTTATAGGTGGGGCCTTTCATAGGTGGCTGGATCTAAGATGTGTGATACTGGGATTAAGGGTGTGTGGTACTGGATTAGTCCACTAATTTTTTTTTTATAGTTCTGTATATGCATAGCAGGAAGACCCACCCTGGTGTGGGTTGCACCACCCAAAAGGTTTGTAGCTTAGATGGGATAATAGAGAAGGGGAGGCTTTGCTGCTGTTGCTTGCTGCTTGTTGCTTTCTGTCTGCTACACTATGAACTGTTTTGCTCTGTGATGTCCCTCTGTCATGCTCCCCTGTCTTAGAACCAGCTGACTATGGATTGAAACCTCTACAAACTGTGAGCTGAAATAATCCTTTTCTCATTTAACTTGTAGGTGTTGGGTACTTTGTTGTAGGGGTTGGGTACTTTGAGAAAAGTAACTAAGACATAAACAGAGCAATTTCCAGTTGATGCCAAAATCATAGGTGAAGAATAACAACCAGAATAAGCACAATGGGTCAGTAATGAGAGAATGGCATCTAACCGACATCCTCGACTCTACAAGGATTGATCTAGACACAGGAAGGACTGGTCCAGCACAACAAGGTTGTGCCAACCTCCATGATGTGACCAGTGGGATCCAGTGCCAATACTTGCTTTCAATTTCCAGGGTGTTTGAAGAGAGATGTTCTGACAAATGGAACCTCTCTCCTGCCATGAAGAACACTGCTGTTTGGTTGATGAAGCACAAGGCAGTTACCTGAGATGCCCCAGGTGACATCAGAGTTACCACAATCATGGGCCACAAAAGGATGGAAGAGTAGCCTGACCTCCACAGTCAGCCAGGTATGGTGGTGCATGCCTGTAATCCCAGCCCTCTTGGAGGCTGAGGCAAGAAGATTCCAAGTTGGAGCTCATCCTGGGAATCTCAGCAACTTAATGATACCAACTCTGTCTCAAAATAAAAAACTAAAGAAGGGGCTTGGAATGTAGCTTATTGTTGAGGTTGTGGGCTCATTCTTTAATACTGCTATCAAAAAAAGTTTGTCAATAATGCTCATGACTGAGGAAATGTTTATGACATGTTAAGTGAAAAATATGGCACAAAATTCTATGTCACTCTATTCTAGGATTATCTTAACTATCTTAAATACAACACATTCTCCAAAATTATAAACAGTGGCTGTATCTTGATGCTTTTTTTTTTTCTTCCTTCCTATGCTTCTCTGGCTTCGTTGTTGCTGATTTGCTTTGCTTTTTTTTTTTTTTTTTTGGTTTTTCTCCCTTTTACCGGAGAAAAAGGGAACCGAACTCACGACCTTGCACATGCCAGGCAGGCGCTTTTGCCGCTGAGCTAAATCCCCAGCCCCTGATTTGCTTTGCTTTAAATGGCCCCAATGTAGGCATAGCTACGGCCAACTATGTGGCAAAGCACATCCCCAAAGAACCCACAGCAACTCTGTGGCCCTGAGTTATCCGGGGAACTACAGCTTGCTCAGCACTGGGTGGTCAGCAACAGATGTCCAGGGAGACCAGGCAGGGGACAACCTGCGAACAGGGCTTTAAGAAGGAATCTTCAAGAGTCCTTAACTTGGGGAAGAGAAGGGTTTGGAAGTCAGGATGATTTTTCTGAGTGGCAACAATGTAGTAGAGGCCAACAAAACTTCATGAGTATGAGGATGCCTGAGAATTATGGATCCACTTGGGGATATTTGTATTATGAGCTAAAAGAACTTGGAAACCTTGGACGGTTTTGCTGGCACCTCCAGGTCCCCATGCCACATCCCACAGGAGCAACAGACAGGAACACGTGTGCTGGAGAAGCTCAGGGTTACAGAATCTGCCTCCCTGAACAGGAAGAAGTCCAAAAACACTTTGGGGACAGAAATGAACAGCGTATCCTCATGTAATTGTTTTCCCGCAGACCCAAAGACAGAGCTGCAGTCCAAGACGTCCAGATGTCCAGTCACAGCCCCTGGAAAGCTTGGCCCCTCAGTTAGAGGGACACAGGGAGGAGCTATAATGATCAGCCCATGCTAAACCTGCTTTATGTGAATGTTCCTGAGCAGAGGGGGAGAGAAGGGCCAGTTGTACAGCTCTAAGGTCACATCCTTAGGTCTCACTTTGTATTTGGTTTCCTTTCCATATATGCACATAAATGCATAGGAACAGAAAGGAAGTACATGAACCCAGATATTAAGAATGGGTTTATTTTGCTCTTAGGAAATAGAAATCTGTATGACATTGCTTTTCATCTTTCTTGTTGACGTGCATTTACATCCTCATTTACGCTCACATTTCACTGTTTACAATGATTATACATATGCTTTGAGGATAAGAATATTGGCTGTAAAAGGTTAAAACTCCAGGATCACAACACCTCCTTTGATGTTACAAACCCTAATGAGATCACTGCTCCTGTGAACACAGTTCCCATGCTTTTCTCTTAGCTGTCAGGTGCCTTTATTTCCACCACAGACCTATTTATTCTAATGAAACATCTTTCCTCTAAGTGGCAATCATTCTCCAAAACATCTGTCAAGGACAATGAAGGGGAAAGTACACAATCCCATGTCATAAAAAAGAAGTTAAGGGAAACCAAGTGGACTTACCACCTCCCCCAAACACAACAAAATGAAAATGAAAAAGGCCTAAGGAAGCAAAACAAAGATCAGTCATGTTTCTGCCACCAAAGAGCAACAACTGTTGTTTACAGTTTTGGGTGTGAGTGTGTGTGTATTCTTTTCACATACTTAAAATAATCTGCAACATGAAATTTTATTGCCTTTTTTTTTCATTTAAAGTGTCAAATAATATCCACAGTCATTCAAATGTGTTTCACTTGAAAAGGCAGATGGGCACCTTCATCCTCAGGCTGTCACTTCTGGAGGAGGAAAGTCTGTGCCCTGCTCTCTCCACTCGGCACGCGATCACATCTTCCCTGGTGTGGCACTGTAACCATAAAGAAATCGAGCCAGTCCACAGGGCTTTGCACCATTCTCAGTACAAGCAGCAGGGGATGACCCGGGGGACTCTGGGTCACTGAGTCAAGGGAAGCCCGGGGACCCAGAGGGAAGGAATATAAGTGCACCTGGTCTGCGTTAAGTAGCAGGGAGGCAGGAGACAAGCCCTGATGCTTCTGCAGAGGCCTCCAGAGCCTCTGTAGCACAAGCTGTACAAGCCCCAGCTTTTCCCAGGAAACTGATGACCCATTCGACACCTGAGGTCCCACAGATGCCCCACCAGATGGTGCCTGGATGGTTGTAAGACTCATGTCCATGGCTTCTTGAACTAGAACCTCATCTAATTTTACTATGTGCTTGTGGAAGGAACAGGAAGGAAAGAGGTAGTGAGCTTCCTTCCAGCAATGACAACAGTAACTGATCTGCATAGAAAACACTGGGCATTTGTAGGTAAGGCAAAATATGTGACAAATCAAAGCCCCAAAGAACCTACAGCAGCTCCGTGGTTCTGAGTCACCTGGGGAGGCACAGCTTGCTCACCACTGGGTGGCCAGTAACAGACGTCCAGGGAAACCGGACAGGGGACCACATGTGAACAGGGAAGTCAGGAGAGATTTCCTTCAAGAGTCCCTAACTTGGGGAAGAGAAGGGTTTGAAAACCAGGGTGACTTAAAAGGTTGTTACACTGTTATTTTGTTTGGTGTATAAATATGTTTTCACAATATTATATGCACACCAACTTTAAATAAAACAAAACAAAAAAATCCCTGACTTCAGAGATCTAACCTAAAATAAATACAGACCCAAAAGCCATAGCTGTCACTCCAGGGGCTCCTCATGGGGCAACACTTCCCCACTTCTCACCCTGGCCCCCTGCAATAGGCCTAGGGTTGCCCCATGCACCTCACAGCTCTCCCACATCCTGA